GTAGAACGCAGAGCTGTTAAATCTGTTACTCAAGCTCACATTTTCGGATGCTCTAATGCTTCCGTTCCAAAATTGCAAAAGCTGGAGAGTGTGGCGAGCATCTTGCCTATTCCTGCTTAAAGCAACCTTATATTGCTCTCAAATAAAATTCTAACAGAAAGTTCTGAGAACTATGACAAGTCTTTGGTGATGGTAGAAAATGAAAAATGACTGCAATCAATTAAGGAATTGGCTTACTTTATTCCAAAACCAAAGAACAAGTATTCACCATAAAAGGGACCTGGGAGAATCTAGGTAATTTTTTTTTCGTACAGACTGTATTTTTTAAATTAAATCTAAACAACCTTTTATTTTATTCATTTGTCTTCAAAGAATGGCCAGTAGGTTTAGCTAAGTGAGACACAAATTTGTAAGGCTCTTCAAAGGAACTTACATCAGTTTCTTTACGGGCATAAAGAAAATGGCAGTGAGCCCTATGAATCCAGCCCAGCTGGATATGCAGTGGATTCCCAAAATGTTTTCTTTATGTCACAAATAAAAAATGTAGCATTCTTGACATTCTAAAAAGCTGTTTCTTTTCTATGAAGTCTTATCCTGCAGATTCTAATTTGTAAGATTGTGAATCTTGCTAGAGTTTTTTAAATATCCTATATTCGAGCTGTAATTTAGAAAAAAAAAAAAGTGTGAACAGAAAAAGAAAAACAAGAAAGAAAGAGGAGACTGGAGAGAGAGTGGGGTGATATCCTATCCAGGAGTCCCCAATCCCCTGTCCACAGACTGGTACCAGTCCATGTCCTATTAGGAGCCAGGCCATAGGTGAATGGCTGGCAAGCGAGCGAAGCTTCGTCTGTATTTACAGTCAATCCCCATCACTCACATTATCACCTGAACTCTGCCTCCTGTCAGATCAGCTGCAGATTAGATTCCTATAGGAGCGTGAGCCCTATTGTGAACTGTGCATACGAGGTATCTAGGCTGCATGCTTCTTATGAGAACCTAATGCCTATTGCTCTGTCACTGTCTCCCATCATCCCTAGATGGGACCATGGGAACCCTAAATGGGAAAGCAAGTTCAGGGCTCCCACTGATTCCTCATTATGGTGAGTTGTATAATGATTTTATTGTATATTACAATGTAATAATAATAGAAGTAAAGTGCATAATAAATGTGACGCACTTGAACCATCCCAAAACCATGCCCCCTCTGCAGTCCATGGAAAAATTGTCTTCCATGAAACCAGTCCCTGGTGTCAAAAAGGTTGGAGACCACTGCTATACACAGTGTTTCACTGTGGAAGGTTTAGCCAATCAATATAACTGGGCAGCAATAATGTGATATAGTCCTCCTGGGCATAGAATTTTGTTCAAAAATTTATCCTAGAACTTGTGTCAGAGGCCTCAGTGAGTTTCACAAAATAACACAAACAGATGCCTGTTGCAGATCTATCAATATGCTTAATTTAGGGTGGGGTTTTGCAAGGGTCTATTTAAAAAGTATTCACAGGCTTATGATCAGCTAAGATAGTTTTCAAGGATCCATAAAGCCCCTGAAATTGCGTAGAAACACTTTTGTGTTTACCCACATGTATGTTTACTTTTCTGGAGAAAGGGTCCCTAGCTTTCATCAAATTCACAAACATATTCTAAGAATAGCCTACAGACTTCTTTAGGTCATTACTAGTTATCTGATGTCATTTTCTTTTGCCAGAAATAAAGACAATACATGTATGTGTGTAAGTGTGTGTGTGACCTGACAGAAAGGCTTAATGTTAACATACCTTGTTTAGCTTACACTAAGCATGATAGTTTTAGGCATAGTTTGATTTTCTACCTCTCATAACTAAGAAATTCAAAACTGCTTTTGTTTGTAGCCTATAAACGCTTTCATTATCCATGGAAAAAAATGTCCATGTATTATCACTGAAAAAAATAAGAGAATTTGGAAGCATAGATATAGTCAGTATTTATGAAAAAGATGACAGTTTGCTCCATTCAATTTTTGGCACCAAATTTGACTAAGTTTGTGTGTGTGTGTGTGTGTTCAGCTCTGGATTAATATGTTTGTTTTCATCATTTTAATTGGTAATTGGTTTCCTATATTTGAAATAAAACTATTATCCTGAAAGTCTTTCTGTACTTCTAGAAGTTATAATATTTTGATGCATTGACAAATATATTGACAGAGAATAAACTGACCATGTATTACTCTCAAACAAATCAGCCTATGAAATTTGATCCTTTCACTATGTACGCTCTCAAAGGGAGAGGAGGTTTCCAGCCATCCTCCTGCTGTCTTGTAGATGCTAGATCACTGGAACACGGTAGCAGGTCCATGCTAAGTACTTCTCCCTGCATGAGAACACTGAGTGGATCACACTTGGTCTGTGAGTTGGAGTAAAGATTCCACCGACAGAATCCAAGAGTCAGAACTTGGCAAATTCTAGGATGTCTTAGAAGATCCTAGAATGGGTCTAAATATATCATTTGATATAAAACAGCAGATATAGGGTATTATTCCTTAATACGAAGTCAATGACATAGGAGCTTGTGCTAAAGCAAATCAAGGGAGAAAAATAAATAGCATGGCAAAAAACATAATTACTTCTGCACCAACGTAATACTTTGGGAAATACCTCATAAAATAACCTTTAACAATGGAAAATAGGCTATCTTTTCGAAGGCATGTTACAAAATACAAATCCCTATGGGGTGGATATTTTTATGACAGCAAATTTTCCTCCCAAAGAGAAATGTTGTATTAACATTTCAAGTTAGCCCTTAATCTTTTTTTGTTTTTATTTTATTTTTTGAAATGGAGTTTCACTCTTGCTGCCCAGGCTGGAGCACAATCGTGTGATCTTGGCTCACTGCAGCTTCCGCCTCCCGTGCTCAATCTATTCTCCAGCCTTAGCCTCCCGAGTAGCTAGGATTACAGGCACCAGCCACCACGCCCAGCTAATTTTTTTTTTTTTTTTGGTATTTTTAGTAGTGACAGGGTTTCGCCATGTTGGCCAGGCTGTTCTCAAACTCCTGGCCTTTGGTGATCCACCCACCTTGGCCTTCCAAAGTACTGGGATCACAGGCTTGAGCCACCGTGCCTGGCCAGCCCTGTATCTTTAAAGTCCCTTTCAACAGGAATTTACTCAATCTTCGTAATCAGCAGCAATAAGGAAAGTATCTCCTTTACAGACACCCAAAGAGAGCCTTAGACGTATCATTTGAGTCACTAAGGGCTCCTGGGTCAAAACAGAACAACAGGGCCTTTCACTTCCCTCTCCTTGGATTTGAAAGAGTAATTCTCAAGACCTCCCCATCCGCAGAAAACAAATGGGTCCCCAGGTCACTTTTCTCTCCCATTTCCCTCTAGGAACTGAAAGAAATCTTGGCATCTTGCCTTGATCAACAGTCATCACTTTCTTTTACATGTTTTAAGTGGACATGCAAAATAGCACCCACTTTTGTGTAACTGGCATTTTGGATCATTCCTTTAAGATGAAAATCAAACCAGGAAAAACATCAAGTTAAAGGAGATAAAGCCCTAGGAGACTAAAGTATTTATACTTTAGAAGTAAAACAGGTCACATAAGTCAAAAATATATTTTACCCGAGCAAGAAACCAAATCCCAAACTATTACTCATTACGGGGATGCAGTTTCTTGATATCAGACAAAAGCAAACAAAAGAAGTAAAAGGGAGAACTCAGATGTCCAAGAGTTGTTTTATTTTGGTTTATATTTATGGAAGTGGTACAGAATTTTGATTATTTCTTTTTTAAGATAACTGCTGTGTGTGCCCTCTAAGACCAGCTCATTTTTATGGTACTGCTCAATTCCTTAACTGTTCTGAGGCAGCAGAGAGAAAAAATACAATGTGATACCAAATTGAACAAAAGGAAGTTATTCAATGATAAATCATACTTGAAATGTCACTTAAAAATGAATTTTTATTTCTCGTCATGTCTCTCATGGACATTTGATTTTATTACTTCTCTTTAAGGTTAGGTTGAACCATGCATACAGCAATTAAAGCAATTTTCACCTGAAAACAGCAATGTCTTCTGGCTCAGCATAAATAGCTTAAATACTTTTGGGAAACAATTAAACTGAATCCAACAAATGTTAACTGAACTCACATCACTTGCCTAGCTCCTTGGTCCGTAGAGGCATATGTGATAATGGCAGATGGCAGATACCATATCTGCTGGGTAATTCGTCATGACAATCGTGCTGTTAAGAATCAATAATCATACAAAAATTAGCTGGGTATGGTGGCACGTGCCTATAATTCCAGCTACTTGGGAGACTGAGGCAGGAGAATTGCTTGAACCTGGGAAGCAGAAGTTGCATGTGCTGAGATTGTGCCACCACACTCCAGCCTGGGTGACAGAGTGAGACTCCATCAAAAAAAAAAATCAATAATCAATCTAATCATCTATGGTGAAAAATAGACCCGTAATTCAGCCAGTAGTTGATTCAACAAGTTAAAATATGTCCCCAGCTGATTTTGATAGTGGTTAATAAAAAGAGCCATGTAGGCATTTTCTTCCCCCTGTGATAACTGCAGGGAGGTGGCATTTTTTAACTTCCTACTTTTCATATAGGAAACAGACTCATTGGAAAGATAAAAGATGTGCTTCAGATCATGTTCAGCTTCCACGCTGCTGGTTGCCGGTCTGGTGCTTTGTCTGTTGACTAATTCCTTTTTCTCCCTCCTCACCCCAGGCCCTCCCCTGTAAAGTATGGAACCCCGTGCCTTCGCTGACCCCAGCATCCTGAGAGTTGAAGGGAGAGGGCAAAGTCCAATAGACTTTCTGGTGGGAAAATTTGGCTGAAGGGTTTTCTGTAAATTTTTGCTCAGTACTGTATCCCTTCATATGCTGCTACCTCCCCCGTGCTCAGTAATTTTAGTTTGTGCTTTTTGTTTCTCTTTTTGTTTCTTTGGTTTGCTGGCTTTGTGTTCTTTTCCCTTTTTTTTCCTTTTCTTTTCCTTTTTTAATGCAGGAATCGGTCAAGGTGTTCCCGTGGTGGCGCTCATAGTGGAAGGGGGACCCAACGTGATCTCGATTGTGTTGGAGTACCTTCGAGACACTCCTCCTGTGCCGGTGGTTGTCTGTGATGGAAGTGGACGGGCATCGGACATCCTGGCCTTTGGGCATAAATACTCAGAAGAAGGCGGGTAGGTAACTTTCCAGACCCCATGGAAGAACCTTAAAGCCTGTTTGGAAATGAGGGTATGAGTGGATTATGTTTTCAGTAGCTCAACCAAGACCTCAAATCAAAACAAGCTATGAACAAATTGTCTAAAAACTGTCTGTCATGGGAGGGCTGTGGCGAAGAACAGAGGAACATATTCTAAATGTCCTGTGAAGTGGGAAATTCTATGAAAGCTATACACGGATAAATAACAAGGGTGAGGAAGAGAGAGGAGGTCATAGGTTGTAGTCTCCTTTTTCTTGTCTTCATATCTCCTTCTCCTCCTCCCAGCAAGGAGAAGCAGGAATTGGGTTTTAACACATGAAGCACAGCCAGTCTGGACCAGATGGTTCAGGCTGGTAACTTCAGAGAAGCTGGGTTGTTCAGCTTCCAGGCTTGGCCTCCAAACACCAGCATTGCCAAGCCACTGTGAAGATCTGTGGTAGACCATGCCATCAGGCTTCTCTAGATGGGCGAGGAAAGTCAAATCTCTGTAATGGTAACTACTCTGGTCTTTTGTAAACTCCTCTTGAATGCCTCACGCCCTTTCCTTGGTCTGTTAGGCTCCTAATGCTACTTTCAACAGTCCAAAGCCCCCAATCCCAGGAAAGATTCCCCCTTCACAGCATTCCCCTCCAGTCCAACTTCCCACTGAGCAAATGCTGAAATCCAGCACCCTTGCAGATTATTAGATCAAAATAAACCATCCCAAGGTGTGAGTGAGATTAAGGGGGTAAAACTCAGGGGAGCCATTGATGTGTTAAATAAGGAACTTCCTAATCCAATCAATTCCCCTAACACATGAAATTTGTGGGGAGGGGAAAGCCTCAAATGAGATGATGGTCTTTTATTCGTGCCTTTTATAAATACGCATTAAGTGTTTCCTGGGTGCGATGCACTAGGCCGAACATTAAGATGTAAAAAAGAAAAACATACAATTAATTACCACTTTCAAGATGCTCACAGTAAGTCTAATAAGTAGACAAGTATTACAAAACAAAAATACAAGTGAACTCACCTACAGCAGGATGTTCCCTCCTCCATCCCTCTCGTACCCATCCCTCTTGTACCCAGCCTGCTTTATTTAAATAGAGACTGAGCATGGCGAGTCAGTACCATCCCATCTCTCCCCATCCCCTCCCTCATCTTTGACAGCAGCCTAGTACTCCACATAAGCCATTAAAACAGCACACCTACCTCGTTAGTAGATGAACCTATGTTCATGAAATGAGGAATAACAAAAGACATTGAGCCTCCAGCTTAACACTGCAAACCCAAAAGCTCTGATACCAAAAAAAAAAGTTAAATTATTATTATATTTTGATAGTAAATAAGTGGTCCATTTTATAGCTCAGAACTACTTAAATTTAGTTAACTTACTATTATATTATTTTTATAGTAAATATTGGTCCATTTTATCGCTCAGAATCTAAAAAGAGAATATGTACCCAAACTTCTCTATGCTTACAACCAGCTCAGAGTTCAAAATTCTTAACTGTGCTTTGTTTTATTAAAAATTTAACCAAGGGTCAGGCACAGTCGTTCATGCCTATAATCCCAGCACTTTGGGAGGCCAAGGCAGGTGGATCACTTGAGGTCAGGAGTTCAAGACTAGCCTGACTAACATAGTGAAACCCCATTTCTCTAAAAATACAAAAATTAGCCAGGCGTGGTGGCACATGCCTGTAATCCCAGCTACTTGGGAGGCTGAGGCAGGATAATAGCTTGAACCCAGGAGGCAGAGGTTGCAGTTGCAGTGAGCCAAGATTGCGCCATTGCACTCCAGCCTAGGCAACAAGAGCAAAACTCTGTCTTAAAAAAATAAATAAATAAAAATAACCAAGGTTCTCCTTTCTCTAAATCTAGCAATATGTTCTATTTTTCAGAAATAAACAATAATTTTAATACAGTTTTTAGCTTTGGCTTATTTCTTACTTTCTAGTTTGCAAATTATTTTATGGTATTCCTACAAAATAGAATGCAAATTTGCATTCTGAATGCAAATTCCAATTTGCATTCTGAATGCAAATACAAATTTGCATTCAGAATGCACCTTTTGTTTTTCTGGGGTTTTTTTTTTCCCCCCCAGAAAACGCATGGAAAAGTACACTGTTCACGTCAGCATTTCAGGTTTCTCAGGTGTATACACAATGAAAGCCAGGATCCAGTGCCTGTTATTTATCATGATCTTGGATTGTCTACCTTGAAAATGTTAAAATATTTAATAAGTTATATATAAATATGTTAAACTACTTAGATTGCCCTTCCTGCTTTAATATGGAAGAAAGATTATGTATTTTAGAACTGGGTGGGACCTAGATTATTTAAATTAAATTATTATTTAAATTAAGCGCTTTGTCCAAAGCCACACAGCCCAAGATCCCAGGCCGGAATCCCTGCTGGTATGTGATGAACATGTACTGAAATGTGTTTTATGCTATGTGCTGTAGTGTTCCTCATATAGGACTTCAGTGATACTCTTTTTTAAATATTCAAATGCACTTCAGTTGCCTTCAGCTTCCTCTTTTCATTATACTTTAGTATTATTATTATTACTACTGGTATTCCAAAGAAATCAAAACCAATGCATTCCTGGTTGTAAACCAACGTCCAAGCTGATCAACCCCGTGTCATGTGGATTCTTTCCCTTTTCCTACCTAGACCATTATACACCAACCCCAAAATTAAGAGTCAAAAATATCATTCTTTCTTTTCTTTTTTTTTTTTTTTTGAGATAGAGTCTCATGCTGTCATCCAGGCTGGAGTACAGTGACGCGATCTCGGCTCACTGCAAGCTCCGCCTCCCGGGTTCACACCATTCTCCTGCCTCAGCCTCCTGAGTAGCCGCAACTACGGGCACCTGCCACCACCCCTGGCTAAATTTTTGTATTTTTAGTAGAAACGGGGTTTCACTGAGTTAACCAGAATGATCTCCATCTCCTGACCTCGTGATCCTCCCACCTCAGCCTCCCAAAGTGCTGAGATTACAGGCGTGAGCCACCGTGCCTGGCCAAAAATATGCTCTTTTAACTTTAATTAGCAATTTTTGTTGTAATTTTTTTGGTCAAAATATGTAATTTTTGGCATCTACACAAACTATGAACACTATGAACTATGAACAATCGCTGATTATCAAAGAATATGAGTTTATGCATATAACTAGTGTGGAGGTAAAGAATTAAGTATAATTTTCGATCCTAAGACGTTTTAAAATTAAAACTTTAAAAATTTTAAGAAAAATTTAGAAATGGTTATTAAGAAAATAGAAGGCTAAAAAGAAGTTTTGTATTTTATATGTAGTTATGATAAAATGTGCTCTTGCTCCAGGAAAGCAATTATAAAATCGTCATAATAAAACGAAGTCAGAATGTTTCTCTGTGCCATCTGAGTAACTTCAAGAATTTAATCATGTTTATTTAGCTTGATAAGAAATTGTCTAGTCACACATGTGCAGCCAATTTTAAAAATCATTTCCAAATAACATTATCTTGCAGTAGTGTGCTTTATGTTAAGAAAAAAAAAAAATGGCCCAACTAGACCTTATTCACCAGGAAGGATTTCTTCTTTGATTTCTAATAAAGTCCGACAGTGTTGGAAATGTTTCACTACAAATAAATGTAAATCCACAACTACATGATCACATAAACAAATCTACATAAATGTGCATCATTGTACAAATGAAATTGGATATAGAGAACACACACATCCTGTTTATGAAACCTTTATTTCAGGGCTGCACCAGTATCTTTTCAATTACTTTGGTAACTTAAATATGATTTAAAAAGTTTTAAGTTAATTTAAAGATTCTTAAATAATACAGATCCAAGAACTATTCAGCTATAGAGCCTTTCATTTTATAATCTTAAAGGAGTTAAAAAAAAAAAATCAAGCCTTACATTTTAACCTTTGTGAACTTTATGTTTTATCTTTGAATTCCCTTCTAGAATGTGAATTTGAAAGACAATCACTTTGGAAGTAATTTGTAATTGACAAAACTGATTAGCTTTTGTGGATGAGATTACTTAGGATAGAAAAAGACAGACTGCATCTATCACAATCCAAATGGATTTGGATAAACTAAAAGACAATTGCAATTAAATTCTTGTTTGAGTCTCTTTCTGCCTGTCTCTGCTCTGTGGCATATAGTACCTGAAAGAAATGGTCAAACTCCTGTTTTCTTCTCATTGGCATAATGGATTTTCTATTTCTCATCTGTCATAGTTTAGAATGAGTCACTAATTAAAATTTAGTCACTTTCCCTAATTAACTTTATTGCTTTCGAAATATTATCAAATTTTATTTCTAAATCATGAATGACTAAACATGACAAAGTTAAAGAGATTCATGCTACCCAAATAGTATTTGAATCACCTAAGTTTTTTAATACTAGGATTCTATTTTTGTGTTGGAGCAATATGAACTGTAGTACGCATAGTTGGGAATACCATACCTTTCTCCTGACATTGAAATCAGAGATTACTTTGCCTCATAATGGTCAACCAAAGTGTCAGATTGCAGAGAAATGTTGTCTAGCCCATCATTTGTCAATCAGTGAGTAAGTACTTCACCCATAAAAAATGTCAGTGTGAAAAAGGCATCCAAATGCATTTGTGTTCCAAAATGGTGCTCCTTATTCATCCAAATTTTTTTGATTTTTATGTTTATTTTGGCATCTTCATTCCAGAAATAATCATCTGTATTTACCATTTTTAGATACTCTAGGACAAGAAGCAGAGCTTGCTGGTAGCAGAAAGCCTTCAAATTTTTTAGTCGTCTGTTATTAACTTTTGGGAAATTATCAATGGGGAAAACACCAAGAGACTGTTCACATTTTTGTGTGTCAGTGGAATTTGTATTGGATATTGGGAAGAATAAATGAGCAATGGCTTGGGAGCAGGAGAATAGATAATACATTGCTAATAAAAATTTGACTTTCCTGTTTAAAGGATGTTTAATAAGATTCCCTATATTATTTGATCAGCT